CAACAGGTCACTGGTACTCCCATACATGTAGGGTTCTGCCTATCACGCAGCTCATCACAATTCACAAATACCTCGAGATCACGCATACATTCCCTCTATCACGAGGCTAGAGCGTGTCATGCATCCTCGCAAGTCCCGGTGGTGGAGTCAACCATCAGGCTAAGCTATTGACTTATTCGAGATGTCATGATAGGACCTACAATCATCACTTATTCTCAAATCTGTACATTCAGAACACACGGTTCTGTTTGTTGCCATTGACAAAGCCTCTCTCCTCGCCGACACGAACAACATCTCGTATGCGGTTTAGGAAGTAAAGGCTAGATACTCAACAACGATCTCCTTCCACGGAGTTGGTTTCCTGACGAGACTCAAGGCTCCGCCCCACATTAATACGGAACTCCTATCTCGCCATGTCGAGGAAATCTCGCATGTGGCAAAGGAAACTAATCGACCAACCTCATACATCGAGGGTTGTTGATTATGGAATTCACACAACGACTCGAAAGATCAACATACACTCTGACAAAAAATCTGGTTCAAGGGCCCCTAAAAGGACAAGGTCAGACTGGGTTTAATGCACTGTCACCCGAGAGGTGACACACACGCTGGCGCTGCATATGCGGGGCGCTGGGATGGGTGCGTGTACCCACTCGGATACCAGCTATAGGGTCAAGGATTGGCCGTACACATTGACCTGGGGAGTTCATGCATTTGGTGATGGTGGCGGCAGCTCTCGTGCGTGTCAACGATCGGCCACTGCAGTTGGCCTCACGTCTCTCAGCACGGGCGGGCAGGCTCGGCCACCACTTCGCATGGCTACACCCAATCAGGTTCGGCACTGGGTTCGAGGCACATACCAAAAATTTCAATTTTTGGGTTTCACAATTCCTAGGTACTCAAATGGGAAAAAGGCTTTCTCCCCAAGACTCAAAATCGAGCATTGGCGTCACCGCCAAGAACAATCCTAACTCGACGGTCAACGTCGAACAACAGAATGGTTAGCTCGTTTGACCCTTTTGACTAACAGTGTTGGCCGTCACAACAGCTTTTACTTAAGTAGCTAATCGTGCCGGCAGTCTTAAACGAGTATAATCCACATACACTACCTATAATTCCCACAGTTCGAGATGTTAGCATAAAGCTTATCTCGTAAGTGTTTTCAGTCAATAACATAACACCAATCAAACCAAGTTCAACATGTATCACAAAAGTCACATAAACATGCATAATCTAAGAGGTAATATCTATTTTGAGAACGAAACAAAATTTTATAAAAATCCAATATGCACAACGAACTTAAAATAGACACAATTTTCAGTACATCAGTCACATGATCATGACTCACGTCTTAAATTAAACTATGGCATGCATCTAAAACTTTCAAGAAAACATTAGGATTAAATAATGACATTCAGTAGGTTAAAAAAAATTGACTAACATGAGAAAGTTGGTTGCAGTCCAGGAAATATGAACATGTTGGTGCAGAGTTTCAGAAAAATGGACATAACTCATTCTATACTCGACATACTGACATGTTTCCGGCATCATTAGAAAAATAAGAGGCAGCCCTACAACTTTTATGAAGACCATATTGACAAATAATGATGTTATAAATGAGTTTAAGCATAAAATATTCAATTCATGAAATCTGCCAACGAAACTATTTCCAAATTTGCAGTAGTTCACTAAAACAACAATATCTCATGCTATAAAACTCCGACTTGGAAAATTCATATAAAATCAAACAAAACTCCAAATTGCATGATTTCAATTCCTAATGACAGCTTATAGCGTGTGCTACAGGTTTTATGATGATAACATTTTCACATAGCCACATTATGATCGTCAAAAATAGCCCAACATCATGATCCACAAATCTACCCGGAATTACAAAAACTGCATGCATGTACAACTTGAAAAATTCATAATAAATTCAAATTAACTTCAAATCATGAAATTCTAAAACTCACGAAAACCTAACTCAAAGCACTACAAAATTACTGATGAACACTTGTCCAAGAAACAACTTCTTGGTTATGGAAAACTGAGCACAAACTGAGGCTTAAACATGGAGTTTTTCAATTAAATCTCGGCACAAGACATATATTCAAAAACATAGCATCAACGAGCCACATATAATACTTCATGTACACACATATAAAATTTAAGAAGATCAGCCAAAAACTGCGATAACCGCATACAAATCAACTCACACTTAAACCTCAATTATTTCAAGGCATGAATTCGCCCCTTACTAAGACATAAGAGACAATACGATACTAGAGGTTGGACAGAGGCCACAAACAACCTTAATAATAGAAGCCTATAAGACCTCAACTCATCTCATAACTTTCGAAATCCGGCAAGGGTCCGAAGAAAAACGAATACATTTTCGGTCCTCACTGTCTAGGTCCTTGCTCGTAGACATTGAATAAAATTATATATAAAGGAAAACTGCTATGGACAGAACTTAACTCGAAAACAACATATTGAAACTCACAACGAGAAACCTCTAAACTTCAAACTTAACTCTATATCACTAGTGTTCAACGCCAAACACTAGGGTTCATATAACCTAAGGTGGATAGATTTACTAATCCCCAAAATAACATCACAAGTAGTCTCATTACTACTCATGCAAAACCTCATAAGTAGTTTCTTTGCTACTCATTCAAAAATGCACAATTCAAATTATAAGTATTTTCATTGATACTTATAAAAGAGCATACCTTAAGCAGTGCGGCGTGACGAAGACGAGTGGTCAACACAATGTCTAAATCACATAAACAAGTTATTCACATATAGACCAGTCTACAGAAACGCAGACTCGCTCTGATACCAAACTGTAACACCCAACTTTGATTTTAAAGAAATCCCGGGCTTTCTAAAATAATCAGAACAAATTTTTCGAATTCATTTTCGAAATCAAGGGCATTAACCAAAATATTTTACTTAGTCCAAGTCTTATCTGGACCCATGGGGATTCATAAACCGATTCTCACATACGGGTTTCATTAATCAATTCTCAACACATAACATAATACTCAACTTAACGATAAAGCATGCATAATTGGAATCTCATATATCCATGCTACATGAGTATTTCAAAGTCATCAAATCCAAAAACATATGTTTCGAAAACAGTTTTCTACTTGACTCATAGGTCTCAACACAATTCATAGTTCACAATAATGCGGAAGCAATAAGGTAAACAACAGACCACCCACTCGTCTCGCTTCGTCACCCGCCAACTGCTTAACCTGCATCCATGAAGAGCAGGTGGGGATGAGCACAATACGAAACTGAGGTGCTCACCACTATGCACGTATATCATAATAACAACAATGTCAAGTGAGTATGGTCGCAGTATGAACATAAAATAATAACAACATGTTTCATCTCCAATCACAAACACCAATTTCATTACTCATATGTACACACCTATCATTAGACTGCCGCTGGCCTGTTCGAGGGCACGCCATGTGACTTAGTTCGACAGCATATCAAAAGTACGCCATGTGACTTAGTCCGATATGGCCTTTCATTAGGACTTAGGGAGACTTGCCTCGCAAGGACAACCATATCGTAACTCGACGGGGACAACCGTACCGATGGCCGAATCGGCTCACACCGATAGGCTACATATTTCACACTCATACATAGATCATACCGACTCAACATAAACAAAAACACATATACGGCATAACAAGTTTTTAATAAGTAAACCCACCTGGATAATTTAGCAGAAAAATACTTGCAAAGCAGTGTAGGTTAAGAGCTGGACTCTCCAGACACCTACATTTTTATCAAGATAGTTTCATAAGTACACTACCTTGACACTTAGAAATAATTACGAGAAATCATACTTAGTCGAACATTATCGACTAATTAATTCGTGGAATTTTGTGGACTTTGGAACTCTCAGGGGATTATAAATAATACTCAAAATAGTGGTCACGAGGTTAAAATTACGGTTCGGCTAAAAAACGGACAATTGGAAACATAAAAAATTAAGATGCCGGAAAATGGGTACCTCTATATTCGCAGCGATTTTATTTTGAATATAACTTTTGGTAGAAAACTCGAATCCAAGTGGTTCTTTTTCCAAAACAATCTAAAGACATAGAACCAAAACTTTTATGAAGACATCAAGCACATTCGAGCAAATTTAAGGGCTGAAAACAACTCAAATTTACACAACAAACCTGCTGTCATTTTCTTTAGAAAAACTGGTTGCGCGACAATCATATTTCGAACGTATCTTTTTGTATAAAAATGATATTTGAATGCATCTTGTGCCATTTGAAACCTAAGAAATAACACAACAAATCATATGAAGACATCAAGATTCTCAGGTCACACGAAGTAGGCCAAAAACAGTAAAAATGACAGACTCATACCTCTGCGATTAAAACAAAAAACCTGACTGCGCAATGATAGAATTTTCGACACAATTTTCAATATAAAAACAAATAAATACTCGATTCTTTTTCCTCAAGAAAGATAACGCATTGAACTACATTTTACGAGAAGACCTTGAAAAGAGACGTCGAGGTTTCAGTGCTCCAAAACAGCCATGAAAACAGAGCACATACAAGACCGGAAAACCAGAAAAACTGGACGCGCAACCGACAAACTTTGGCCATAACTTTCAGCATAAAATTGATATTCACTCGATTCTCTACACACTCTCTCCCTACTCTCTCTCTCTCTATCTCTCTCTCTCTCTTTCTCTATATGCATTCTCATGTGAATACAGTACTTACTCTCTCTCTATCTCTCTCTCTCTTTCTCTATATGCATTCTCATGTGAATCCAGTACTGACTTAAGTATCGGAGGCCCAAAGCCGAACACCCCTCCCAGGGTCCCTGGCTTTGGGTTCTTGTACGTACGGTAGCCGTCCGAGTCGAGAGAGATAGCTAGGATCACCGCACAGTTCTGGTGGCAAAAAGGGTCAAATGATCAAAAAGGCTTCCATTGGGTAGCTTGGGACAGGATGGCCTTGCCAAAAAAGCATGGGGGATTGGGCTTTCAAGACATCCAACTCTTCAATGAGGCATTAATAGCAAAGCAAATCTGGAAACTGGTGGCTGAACCTGATAAACTAGTCAGTAAAGTCCTTAAATCTAAGTATTATCCTAACTCTGACTTGTTTGAGGCCCAGCAAAACCAAAATTGTTCATGGTTGTGGAGTTGTTGGTTGTCTGTGTTGGGTAAATGTAGCAGATGGATGAGGAAGGAAATAAGGGATGGGAAGAATACTGCAGTGTGGGATACTCATTGGATTATAGATAGGGTGGGTTTACCTGTGGAGTTGAATGCTGGTATTGACAGGAACATTAAGTGGGTTAGGGATTTGATGAATGAGGATGGTAATGCATAGGATGCAGCCAGAGTTAGAAGAACTTTCCCTGATCATATCTGTGAGGCAGTGCTTAAAATCAAGTCCATTCATCCTCAGAGAGTAGATAGATGGCTATGGAGTCTTAGCAATAAAGGTGAGTTCTCTGTTCACTCTACATATTCAAAACTTATCACTGACAAAGTTCTGATGTTGGAGTCTGCCCAGGGGAGCAAGGATATGGCTAGAGATATTTCAGTGAGGGAGAGGAGTTGGAAGCTGAAAGTGGTGGGGAAGGTTAAGCATTTTCTGTGGAAGTGCTGTAATAATTCTTTAGCAGTTAATTTGAATTTGATTAACAGAGGGCTGAGCATTGATGCTATGTGCAGTGTATGTGGAGATGATTCAGAGTCTTTGGAACATCTATTTTTTCATTGTAGTCAGGCCCAGTTAGTGTGGAAGTTAGCTCCGGTTCATTGGGTTGGTCCTCAGGTGCGGGATACCTTCAAGCAATGGTGGTGGCAAATCTGTCAGATTGACAAGTCCGAGGTTTCCGAAGCCCGAATTCAACTTACTACGTATATCCTCTGGTGGCTATGGAAATCGCGTAACTTGTGGGTATTTGAAGGAACTCGAAGACCTGCCCACCTCATTGTCAAGCTGGCTGTCCAAGATTGGTTAGCTTTTTTGAACAGTAAGGATCGGTAGGTTTTGGGAATGTGGGGCTCGTATTATTTGGTTTTTTTGGTTCTGGTCTTGTTGTTTTTCTTGCTTGGCCAGCTAAGGTATTAGACCAGTAGCTGGTTTTTATTTTCGGTTTTTTAGACTAACTTGTATGTAGCTGGTTGGGGTAAAGGTTCGGGTTGGTTGTCTGCTTTATTCTATCAGCTATGTGTATAGTTAGTTTGTTGGGTGTTGTTGTTTTATTTAGGCCACCTGCGAGTGGTTCTCCCATGGCTTCGGCTTGTACTGTTTGTTTGGTTTTTTATTAATGAGATTATATGTCGTTCCGAAAAAAAAAAGAAAAAGAAAAGAAAAGAAAAAAAAACTCTTAAGTGGAAAGAACTCATTTTTTTTTCCTTAATAACTGAACCTGTTTGTGTGTGTGTGCGCACGCGTGTGCGCACGTGCATACGTATGCTTGTCAAATTGCAGAAAAGTTGTGTGCTACAAAACTACATGGCACATCAATCTGACATCAATGAGTTAATGAGGGGGATTCTTATCAACCGGCTGATTGTGGTAAAAAAGAAAAAAAATATATCTTAAAGTCCTGTTGAAATTCCTAAAATAGAAATCAAGCATTTTTCCTTTTTCACGTTTTTAATGCATTAGTGTCATGTTAACATTACATGCTTCTGGCCTGCGGGCTCCCCATTCGACCCGTCTTGAAACACGGACCAAGGAGTCTGACATGTGTGCAAGTCCACAGGCTAGCAAACCCGTAAGGCGCAAGGAAGAATGAAAAAAAAAAAAAACATTACATGCTTACAAATAGAGGTGCACTACAAAATCGAGCTCGTGCACAAGTCATTATATCCGATGGTGAGCATAATCAATAAATTCTTGATTGTGATGAAGACCATCTTGAGAAAGAAGCTCCAGCTTGTTGGGATTGCTGCTATACTCATTGCCTGCAAGTGTGAAGAGGTTTCGTTCCCTATCGTGGATAAACTTAGTTTCATATGGTATTTTCTCACCCAAATTATAAAAATGAAAAGAAAAATAACATTGTTGTACTCTCTTGGTTTCCGTCGTTTTTTTTTTTATTATTTTGGTGCAATTTTCTATTTTTTTTTAAATTACATTACCTATATTAGTTTTATGTATCTTTGTTGCATATTATTCACTTTCTTGTGAATTTTTTCTTGTGCATTTTTTCTGAGTTATGGTGTTTTTTTTTTTTCCCATGCGTGGTCAGGATTTTTGAGTTTGTAGGTTATTGTTATGTGGCCGTCCCGGTCGCATCGCTCTCGTCATTGGTAGTAGCGGAAGCTTCGGTTTGAACTCAACTGACCGTAGTGCACGCTTTCAAGCCCGGAGGTGCTGCTCGTGTCCAACGAAGTCCCGGTCAGCTCTCTTTCAGTCCCGGGCTGAACCTAGCTGCTGTATTTTCGGGCCCGGGCTGATTGAAGCCCATTTTCTAGTCCCTTTTTGTGCTGTAAAAATAAAACCCAAAGCAATGGTATTTAACAACAAAATGGAGGGACCAATTTCAGCTACACTAATAAGAACAAATCTATATAAACCAGCTGAAATGTAATAAATTGAAGAGAAGGAAAGAGGGACTCCCTTTAGACCAAATGATTGACGAAGAAGAATGACACGAAGTCGGATCCTCAGGCTCAGATCGCCCTTGAGCCCGGTAAACTCGGTGAGTCGCGGCTCGGTGGCGGGACGCGAACGGCAGCCCCGGTTCCTCGGCCCGTTCCCCGGGCTGCGCCTCCTCACACAAACCAAACCTCAGCCTAGCCCCGTCGCCAAGCCCTCTCCTTCGCACACGGAACCACCCGAAGCACCACAAAAGTGCTTATGACCGAAGAGAGGAGCAAGCGACAACGGCGGCTCAGTGGCGGCACTCCGTCGGCGATAATCACGGTGACACTCACCTCTCACACACTCTAAAGGGAAGAGATTAAGAGAGAGAGGTCGATCGATGTGTTTCTCTCACAGAAAGAGAGATGTACAGTTGCGTGAAAAATAGAGCAGAGAATGGTCTGATTGTTGTGGTAGGCTGAGGAAGGAGATGAGGTATATATTGTGTAGCTAACGGTTGGGATTAAATCCCTTAATCTAACGGTCATAAATTACCCCTGCCAATTATGTGTGATAGAGGGCCAGGGCCAGGCCCAGTCGGGATTGGGTCGGGGCTTCCTTGGGCCTGAGATAAGAATTCGGACTGAGCCATATTTCTAACATTTCTCCACCGATTTGGCCCACAACAGAATACCGGACACCTTGAGGGACCGGAGGACTTTCATCATCGCCTTACAACACCTGCACTCAATCACCACAGTCAAAGTTCAATGTCCTCATGCATGACCTAAATTTTTCAACAGGTAAACACTTAGTTCCCATATCAGCGGGGTTAAACTCGGATGCAATTTTTTCAAGATTAACTAAGCCTTTAGAAACAATATCACGTATGAAATGAAATCTAACGTCTATATGCTTAGTGCGATCATGAAAAACAGGATTTTTACACAATTGAATCCCCGATTGGCTATCCGAAAACACAACAACATCTTTTTCAAGCAAGCCGATTTCACACAAGAGACCCTTCAACCAAACAGCCTATTTCAAGGCTTCAATCACAGCCACATATTCAGATTCGGTCGTAGACAAAGCAACAATATGTTGTAGTTGTGATTTCCAACTTACAGAAGAGCCACACAAAGTGAACACATAAGAAGTTGTTGATTTCCTATTATCTCTTTCATTAGCATAATTAGAATCAACATAGCCAACAAGTTTAACACCCTCAGCACACTTAGAAAATTTCAGACCAAAATGCATAAAACCATTCAAATAACGTAACAACCACTTAAGAGCTTCCCAATGAGGCATACCCGGATTGGACATGAACCTACTCAAACAACTAACAGCATAAGTAATATCCGGCCTAGTACTAACCATGAGATACATCACCGAACCAATTGCATTTGAATAAGGAACATTTTTCATCACATTAATTTTAGAATCGGTCTTAGGAGACTGATCCTTACTTAGCACAAAATGGGCAGTGGTAACACAAAACTTCCAGACCGGCTGGAACTTGAGTAATCGCCTTCCTTCTCGCCGGTTGAACGTCGTGCACCTACAAAGAACTCTCACACCGGAGGGGTTTTCCGGTGAAGAGCCTCCGAAGCTTAA